ATGAGCTGAGATCCTGCACCCCTGGGAGCTGCCCATGAGCTGAGGCTGGGCATTCATGCAGGGAGAACAAGGGGCAATCGGTGAAACTGGAACAAGAGGTTTACAAGAGAGGAGAAACCTCCCGAGAAGACAGTCAAGCAGCAGAAGGGGCTGCCCAGGGAGGTTGTGCTGTCCCCAGCCCTGGGCATTTTCAAGATCAACCCCCAGCAACACGGTCTGGTCTGAGCTGACTCTGAGCATGAGGTCAGGCTAGAGACCTCCTGAAGTCCCTTCAAGGTGGATAATTCCAACACGAATCATCCCTTAATCCTATGGCAGAGGAGAGGCTTCCTTCCAGCTCCGATTCCCAAGCTAACCACAACACTACTTCTAGGAACGCCAGGAATAACGTCTGTTCTGTAAAAAAGAGCATCTCCTATTGCTCCTCAGCGAGCAAACCAACACTCGAGCGAGATCCCTGACGGAAGAGGTGGGAGGGAAGCAGACTCTTGGCAGGCTCCTTCTTCACTACCTGCACCACCCACCCCTGCCCCAGCTCCTCTGCTCCGCTGGCCAAGTCCTGCACTCACAGCTATGTCCCTTCTCACCCGCCTTCCTCCTCTCTGCTCGCCCGGCTCCGCTCTGCTGTTCTCCTGGCGACACTGCCCCATGCACGGGCAGGAACACGCAGCACCCGGGGCTATTTGCCCCTTCAAACACCCTTGATCAGACCCTTGATCAGTCCTGATCAGACTCCAGCTGATCAAGAACCGCCCGGCTCTCACGGCTTGGCATTGACCCCTTGCTGGACCTGCTTCTCCTGGGCATTTCTCCGGTGTCCACGTGAGCAGCCTGCAGCAAGGGGCTCCGCGTCCCAGCCCTGCCCGCAAGCGCCCCTTCCTTCTCTTGAGCCTCCTGCACCCGTTTAACTGGGCACCAGTCTGGCTTGTGAAGGCCTTTCACAAGGCCCTCTTTGAGCTCTGCTGCTGCATTATGCTCTTGGTTTAATCTTCCACTACCTGTGAAAGAGTTAAGTTGTAAAGTTTCACTACCTGTGAAAGTTTCTGCTGGGAAAGCAAAACAAGGCAGTAAAGGACGTAAACCAGCCCTTTTTTGTTGTTTTTAATGTTCCCCACATATATACGTGTATAGTATATTGGAAATACAGTTGTAATAAGTAAAATCAGGTTCCTCCTCTAAAACCTGCCTTACAGTCTATTCACTCTATAGCTAGTATCATCCCATGCTAGTCGAGCTCTAATATACACAAGCTCAATCAAGAATTATTAGTATAGCACAAGCATTATTCTACCTATTTAATGCTACACCAATTCATGTACTTGTGTTTTGCAAAACGCAGTCTTCGGCACGTAAAGAAACCACTCAGTGATGTTCAACCGCGACTGCACATTCCAGGCAAAGCCTCTGCCAACACAGAGCACCATCAGTTTCTAGTTAAGCACGAGGCCAATCGCTGCCGGGTTTCATTATCCGTCTACACGGGATGCGGTTCTGCCCAGCGCATCTCTGAAGTTAAAACTAGGGCAGCCAATAACCCCTTGGGAGCTGGCTTAAAAGCCGGTGTCTTGATTAAGTGCTGGATTTACGAGTGCCCCCTAATCCTGGGGGAGAAGGTGGACTCTGCATTAGCCCTGCTCGCAGCTGCACGGAAACGGCATCGGCGAAAGCAACACGAGGACGAGGGGCTCGATGGAAGGTCAGGGGCCAGGGCCACCATCCGCGGAAGCACCCAGCTGTCTGTAACCCGAGGAAATGATGGGAGTGATTCCATTAGAGCTCATCTAAAATACCAGCAGCTAAAAGCCTGGCTGTGCTTCTTCCATCTCCATGCCTGCTGACAGCAATGTTAACTACTTGTGGTAAACCTGCTCAGTTTTTACCTTTATCTTAACGTTTGCCTGTTGCTAAATGCGGTTTCCCATTGCTGGGGCAGCAGCAGCCCCGAGAAGGGCAGTTTGCACGCGGGACTGAGCGGCCCCGCGGCTCCCCGGGGCTCACAGGCCCCCAGAACACAGCAGAGCAGCTCCCTGCTCAGCCCAGCTCCGACAAGCAGCCAAGAAGAAATGCTACCGCGGCAAAGCAGAGCCTCCCCAGCGCGCAGCGCCGGAGTGGGGAAGGCTCCTGGTTAGCTACCGAGCTGCACGGTCTTCCCCGGGGGATCTCAGCCCCAAACCACGAACGGGGCCCTGGTTCCTCCCGGGGGGCGCAGGTAACTCCGTGCTCTCATTTGGGACGTTAACGATCTCGCCCAGCACCTGCTCGTCCTGCTGCCCACGCCGTGTGCCCACGCTGGACACGGAGCTGTCCCCGCTCGCGGCTCCGAGCACGGAGGTGCCCGGGCAGCGCTCTGCTCCTTCCCCGTTCCTCTACGGTGGGAGGCGGGTGGGCAGCCAGCCCCTGGCCCCGGGGCTGCCCTCGGATCCAGCACTGGTGGCCACGGGCATGGCAGGACGAGCCAAGTCACCGGCACTTCCAAGGGGAGTGAAAGCAGACGCTGCGGTGCTTGATGCTGCGCCAAGCTTAAACCGCAGCCCCTGCGAGCCTGGAAACCTGCTGCAAAACAGGGAACGCTGTACTAGGGATACGGGCAGCCCATCCCGCATCTCGGCAGAGAAGGATCCTGCAGCGGATGCACGGAGAAGGTGCCAGGGCAGAGGGTGAAGCCCGTGACCGAGTCACTGCAGCCATGCGCCAGTCCACAGAGCACATTGGCCACCTCGCGCCAGCCTGTGCACCCCAGTTCGCCCAGCTGACACGGGGCTATCAGCCCTTTCCATCCTTGCAAACCAGCCTGCATCATCTGGGAGCTCAAGGGAGGGATTCAGCAGGCACCATGACCACTCTGCAGATCCTCAAGTGTTTTTAACGTCTCATGCTGCAGCAGATGGCACGGTAGCTATCTTGGAAGTCTGACAGAAATTCTCTTCTCTATCAGGCTCTTCACTGCAATAAATCTATTTTCTTCAATTTTTTGTCATCGTGTTTCTTTCGGTCTACTTGCTTTGTAACAAGTCAATTAAAAGGTTAATAACCTTCGTTTCAAGGAATTACTGGATGCAAACACGAAACGCTTTGACCCTCTTTGCCACCAGTCCCTGGAAATCTTAATCAGCTCTTATTTGTGGGGGATGCTGCAATATTCAAATAATCCAGTGTATTTCTTCACCAAAAAAAAAAAAAAAAAAAAAAAAAAAAAAAAAAAAAAAAAAAACAGTTATTTCTTCACAAAAAAAAAAAAAAAAAAAAAGAAGAATCAAGCCAAAACACCCAACCCCTGCTTATTTTTCAACAAGTTTTTTGCTGTTCTTATGGTTTTCCTGATGAAGTCAACTGTACGAGCCTGTCATGGTGGGTGTAAAATGACAGCTCCAAAAGGGCTACTAAAACAAACCAATTGCAACCCGAATTCTGCTCCTTGGCTGTTTTCTATTTCAGCTCCTCTGGAATTCCAGCCAGATGAACTGCATCTCAGATGCATCGCTCTGGGCGCACCTTGGACAGGGAAAGCAAGAACAGAAGCTGCTGTCCGCGCTGGGCAGGGACTGCTCTCGCGCGGTTCCCACGTGGGCTGCTCCGGGAGCGCTGAGCAGCCGTGCAGGATTAGTTCCTGCTGCTCGTACTTCTTGCAGGGCCCTGCTTATTGCAGCTGTGTTGGTGGCAGCTGCCACCCCTCTTGCTCAGCACGGGCAATCTCCAGGCCTGCTTTTCATCCTCCCGATGCAGGTTAGACTCTGGGTTTAACTGCAGGTTAAACCCTGTGTTTAACTGCAGGTTAAACCCTGTGTTTAACTACTGGTTAAGCTCTGCGTTTAACTGCAGGTTAAGCTCTGTGTTTAAGTGCAGGTTAGACGGTGTTTAATCCCTGGCAACGGCAGGTGCAGAGCTGCAGCGGCTGCGAACCCCAGGCCATCATCAGGCTCCTGGTGTACCTGGTGCTGAACAAGGGCATCCCGGAGCGTGTTCTGTGCTCATGAAGGACACAGAACCGAATTAACCCTACAGATTTCCAAGCCCTGCTCACAGGTCTCTGCATGCTGCTCTCCCTGAGAGCATGTATGGGCCAAGAGGTGCTCCTCACAGGCACACTCTCCATGTACTCTTGCACTTTTGGGATCTCTTATTGAGTATGGAGATTAGTTCATTCGATAGCTCCTTTTTAATATGATTTGCAGCTCCTTGTAGCTTGATTCTACTTGGAATAACTTCTGCTTAGAAGCTAAATAAAGAGCTAGGATTTGGTAGGCACTTCAGATATCTCTGGCCAAGGTTCACTGGTTTAGTGCCTCAGCAGTCACTAGATTCTCCTTCCAGTCCGTGGCACCGTGCAGGATCCATCGCTTTAGGCTGGGTCTAAACGGCGCCAGCTCAACCGCACGTTGAAGCCTCCTCCTCTGTGTTCATTGCAGAGGGATCCCGGGCATCGGCGCAGACCGCGATCCCGCAGAGTGGACACAAAAGCTGCACGAGGAGAATCCTGTCCTCCACGTGCTACTGATTAGCGTCACTTTAATGAGAAAATCCACTCGTCACTTCTGCTGCAGGCAGCCCCGAGCCTGGGGTCAGGCCCGTGGTGGTCCTGGCACTGCGGCCGCCAGCTCCTCGCCTCTCTGTCCAGCAGCAGCATCACGACACGAACAACGGATTCATGACCCTGTTTGCTGCCCATGTTGCATCTTAGCATCCGTTCAGGTTGTGCTTTTATCTTTTCCGAGTGCAATTTATGCCTACATATTTGTAAGCATGAGAGAAGCTTAATCAGTGTAGCATCTGAGAACCCTCCAGTGCAGTGCATTAAACGCCCTCTCCTTTTTTTTTAAGATTACCTCCTGGTTTGTTTCTCAGACTAATCCTGCGCCTGTGTGATGACCTCCAGCCTCGCGCTCTCGGCGCAAGCTCACGCAGGGCAAAGGCAGCAGCCGATCGCACACAGGGGCTACATGAGGGACACACGCACAGCGCATAGGGCACCAGAAACTGCATTTGGGAAACCAGCATGCGCCTTCCTCAACCTATTTTTTATATTCTGGGATATAAACTATAAAAACTCTGGGATACAAATATAAAAAACCTATTTTTTGTATTTATAGCTGGGAAAATGCTGCTCTCAGACGTGGCTCTAAGCAGACGTTTACTTTCTTCTGGGTGCTGAACACAGTCTGTTTTGGCGTTCCCACCGCTGCCCAACTTGGCCTCGGGTCAGTTCAATCCACTGCCTAATCACACACCACACTACCCCCTTTTCTGCCCCTAGGCTTCTTGCCCCTTCTCTAGGGGCTTCTCTACTTAAATAAAATATTATTCTCCCCAGCTCCAGCCTATATAGCCTTCAAACACTGCTAAAACTAGGGCTTCGCCATAAGAATGAATCAAATATACCAATATACATACAAAGCAATGACCCCCAAGCCGTTCCTTGAAGCCTCCCCGGCAGGGCTCAGTGGGACGGCGCTGCCCTGGTGGGACCAAGTGCAGAACCCACTGAGATCCGAGCACTGCTCACTACAGCCTTACGGTTCACCAGATACAACACCAGAGCAATGCAGAAAACCAAGAAAATTAAATGGGTGCAAGGTGCTGTCACTGTGCCACCAACACCCCTGCCCACTGCTTCCCCGGCTCCATCGTTCCCCCTCGAGATGGCTTTGGGTGCAGCAGTGCTGGACGTCCCTGGGGAGGGGCCGAAAGGTCCTGCCCCAGCCTGCAGACGAGTGAGAAGCCCCTGTCCTGTCTGTTCTTGGAACGTGCCAGCTGCTACCAGCTGCGGCAGCCCAGGCTGTTCAGCTCGTGGGTTTAGGCTCTGGCTGCCGTGAATGGAGCTCCCGGTGCTGCCGGCACAGGCAGACAGGAACCGCGCACCCCTCGCCCTCTGCAAGCGCAGAGTGCGGCAGGAACCTCCCTGCCCCGGCGGTGCCACAAACACAACCACAGAAAAGGGACCTCGGGAGCTCTCCAGCCCAGCCCTCTGCTCAAAGCAGACTTAACATCAATGTTAAATCCCTTTTTTGGGACACACACAACTTGCAGGTAGAAATCACATTACAGTGGCATTCCTCATAGTTTTCAGTCCCAAGAGAGGCAAGGAGAGCCGAGTGCTTTGTGCAGGCTCGGGTGCTGGCAGGGCCGCCTCACCAGGACTACCCTGCCGCCTTAGGGACTGATATCCCCCAGCTGGTCTTACCTACGGATTTTGTTCGTGGGATTCCTTTGCGCAGTGAAACGTGGGGTTTCTCGGCTCCGGAAAGGACTCCCGAATGTGCGGCCATGCCCTGGCGTTCAAAGAGTGACTGCGAAGGGAGAAAAAGGAAATGTCCATTCTTGACATCTGTGAGATGAGGAGAAAACAAAGCAATTCCTCATCTCCCCAATTCTTCTAATCCCTCGCAGAGGGAAGGCTGCCCTGGCAGCAGGTACCTGCTCCAGAGCCCCCCTACACCGACTCCATAGCCCCCCTCCTCGCTCCTACCTCCCCAGACCTGGTTTCAGCGTTCCTCCATCCAGAATGGCTCCATTTGAGCCAATCCCCCTTTAAAGGAGGGACCTTCCTCCTCCTCTCCTAGTTGCCTGCCTCCCCTTGCTGCTTCTTGAGCACTCTGTGACCGCGGTGTGACAACACGCGGGGCCCTACTGGGTTTCGGGCTGCTCCCTCGGGGCAGCGAGCCCAGACACTGCAGCCCTCCTTGCGTGCGAAGGTCTCAGACGGGTCCCTGCTCAGAATGGCCCTGTCCCACTCGATCTCCTGCTCCAGGAGCTGCCTCCCACCGAGCGCCCGCAGAACCAGGGCGACCCTGGAGCTGCCACCCTCGTCCTGCTCCACACACACTACATCCTTCTCCTTTATGATGCCTCCTGATAGCCAGGTTCACACCCTGAAGCCCTCAGCCACATAAGCTCTCCACCTCAGCTCTCCACCTTTTTTTGCAGGTATATTCTCACATCCCTCCTGTCATCCGTGTCGTATTGGTGAACAACCACCCCAAAGCCGGGCTCTGCTCTTAAACCTGCGCTCCCTGCGCCTCTGCCTTCACACAGCCTCTTGTGAGCCCTCTTTCCACCCCGTGGAAGCCCCTCCTAGCCCAGGGCTCTGCTGCGGCATGCAGCGCGCGGCGGTGCCCGCGGTGCCCGTCCCCCTGCCCCGCGTCTCACACTGATCTCTGCTGGCGTGATGCGCCGGCTCGTGGGTCGCTGCTTCACAGTGGCTGCCCTGGAATCCGCTTCCACAATGTCTGCTCTCAGCGAGGGCTCTGCTGCCGCCAGGATCTCATCCAGTTTCTCTGAAAACCCAAACACAGAAGCAAACCAGTCAGCAAGGGCCGTTGCAGGGCGGCAGATCCCCCAGGACAAGCCCATCCTGTCTCGTGCGGATAAGGAGAGAGCAAATCCCCACTTCTGCTTCCCAGGCCGTTGCAAACAGAGCTGCTCCTCGCAGGCCGCCCCGCAGGCGCAGAGCTGTGCTGCGCTCGCGGAGCAGCCGCGGCGCGCGAGCGGCGGCCCCGCACACCGGGGCGGCTGCAGCCGCCGGCGCCGAGAGCGGCACCGGGCCCGGCGGCGCGGGCGGCTCCGCGGCGGCACCTCGGCGCCCTGCAGCAGAGGCTGCAGCGCTCGCTCGCCAGCACTCGCTTTGGGAACCCGATTCCAGCTGCAAGGCGTTGAGCTAGCCTATTCGCTTAGCTTAAAAGAGCAATTCTTTACCATATATATATATATGAATATATATGTATATATATGAATATATATGAATCTACACATATATATGGATATATGGATCATATTGGGATCAAATCCCCCCTAGGTGGGTTAACGGAGGAGGGGGACAGGGTGGCTGCAGGTTATGGGGGTTCCAGGTGCCCTGGGGCACACGGCCAGGCGCCGGGCAGCTCCACGGGCTGGGGCAGGTCCAGCTGCAGCCAGCGGCGCACGGGGACGTCCCCTGCCCCGGCCCCAGTGCCCTCGAGGGCCCAGGCGCCCGGCCGGCGCTTTGGCCCTGGCCGTGCTGCGCGGTGCTGAGCTGCCCAGCGCCGCTGTCCCAGCTGAGCCTGGCCCTGGCCCCAAGCCCCCGACCGGCTCCCAGGCCTGACCCTGGCCTTACCTCCTCACTACGGACCTGCCTGGCAGTCACGGGGCTGTGTGTTACCCTGATGCTCCTCAGCCCAGGTCTGAGCTCGGAGCTGCTGCCGTCACCTTCACCCTGTCCTGATGGTCTCCTGGCCCCATGGTGCCCTCCACGAGCAGCGGCTCCCGCGGCTCCCCAGCGCTCTCAGGCAGCTCTGCTCTGCCTTTCCTCCTTCCACTCGGTGCCAGCAGCCCGTACTCACTCGGGCATTGCTGCTGGCTGCCACGGGCACCTCTCTGGGGCAGCAAGCCCTCCTGAAACCCAGGGCGCTGCAAAGCGCAGGACTGAGGCTGGCGAAGGGCACCACCGACCCTGCCTGGGACGGTCCCGCGAGGAGCGAGGCAGGCGCCGCACAGAGCCGGGCGAGGGGCTCAGTTGGGGCACGGGCACAGGGCAGCGCACACGGCACATGGGGCATCGCACGGCCGGCGCCGCTGGAAGCCCCCGGGGCTGCCCTCCCACGGGACTCGCAGACCCATGCGAGCGGGGACCGGGCCACACCACCAGCGCGGGGAGCTGCCCTGGCCACCGAAGCGGCTCGCGGAGCGCCGGGCATCACCTCCGCCGCCGCTCAGGGCTGGCACGAGTCGCGGGCGGCTTCCCCAACTGTGTGCATTGCAGTGGCAGCCGCTGCCCGCCCAGCCCCTGTAATGCTGGGGCTGCGAGTTACTAAGGCTAAAACTGAGCCCCAGGCACCTCCAACAGCCCGAAAGTCCAGCCTGAGGAGGAGTATGGTGCACACATCTGGAGAAGGCGGCTGCACATGACCTGGCACCACAGGTGGGAATAGGGACCTGGGCACATTCCAAGAAAGCTGCCCAGGTCGGCCCCTGGCCGTCCCCAGCTCTCAGGCCTGGCACGGACACCCTGTCTCCACAATGTCCCTCACTGGCTGTGCCGTGGTCCTGCGTGGAGCGGCTGCACACGCAGCCATTCCCGACCCAGCTCCGTCCCGGCCACGGCCTTCCCGATGGATCATCCCCTTCGCCGCAGGCAGCAGCTCTGCCCCGGGCTGCAGGCAGGCTCCCCTGCGGTGCAGGACCTGCTGCAGCGACGCATGTGCATCCGCGGGCACGGCAGAGAGTGGCTGCCGCTGCAGCAGGCTGCAGGTTCCCCCGCGGTGCAGGACCTGCTGCAGCGATGCATGTGC